TCCCACCTGGAACAAACAGTGAGCTCAGGTTTCAACATGTACTAGTTGGCAGTGCCAGAATAAACTGAAGAAGGTAGCTAGAGGTCCAGTGTGGGATCTCTTTCTAATCTACTTTCATAGTCACTGCTACCATTTCTTCTTGTAATAATCACATTTTAATCAGAGTTTCACCTGTTCCAGTGAGAGAGAGTAGGTTTGGACTAGATATGTGGAATTTGAGATTTGTTTCTGTGAGGGTGGTGAGGCAGTGGAACACGTTGCCCAGAGGAGTTGTAGGTGCCCCATCCCTGGAAATGTTCAAGGCCAGGTAGGTTTGGATGGGACTCTGAAAAACCTGGTCTAGTGGAAGGTGTCCCTGCCCAGAGGTTTTGGAACAAGATGATCTCTAAGGTCCCTCCCAACCCAAACCATTCTGTGATTCTGTGTCTATTACCTTGTTGTCACTGGGTCACTCCTCGCTCTGGGCTCCTGCACCTGGTTAGGATGTAATTGGTAACTGGCTGGAGAGGAGTGAACGAAATTGAAAAAACCACAGCCCCCCCTCCCATCACCCTGTTGGGAATACTCCTTCCCTGACACTGATGGGTTTTTGTCCTCCAGCTGTCATGTCTTGACAGCTCTGTAGGCAGAACAAAGGGGCTCATCAGACCGAACATGATTTGTAAACAATGAAGAAGGAGCTTGTGCCACCCTGCAGCATCTGACAGTGTGAAAAACCACCGTGAACTCTCAGGGTTTTGCTGTCTCCTCAGGAAATTCAGTAGAATTTCACCCTTCTCATCAGGATGCTGCCTTCTCAAAAGGGGCAGCAAAATCACAGCATCTCTTTCAGATTCAAAGTGCTTATTTAAAAGACAAATTATTCTAATTTATGTTCTCAGTGTTTTCAATGATTTTTGTATCTTCAGCATTACATCAGAATACCATAGCTTTTGCTGTTTTTTCAGTAAGAACTTGCTTTCTGATTAAAGTCTTTGTCAGTGAGTGAGCAAAAAATTAGTGCATTAACAATCTAACAATGAAATCAAAGTGATTTAGAGTAGGATTATCTAAAATTATTTTTTGCTAGTATGTGTAATGTTGTTTTAACTGATGACAATGATTTAGTTCTACTTAGATGAATGATGAAACTAATCAGTGAACTGCTTGAGAAATGCTTTGTTAAATTAGTCCTATATTAAATTGGGAGTCTTTAATCTATTTTTCTGTGTGCTTGTCATTGACTTTGCAGGGGGATGTGCAGGTTCTTCTTTTGTTTACATGAATATGAACTAGAACACCTTCACTGATTGTCAGTAGAGTTTCTTTGTTTCAAAAGGGGAAAATGAGACAATGGGGCCTTCCTGTCTTTGGTTTTGTTGGGAGATACCTTTTAAAAAATGCCTTACACAATTCATTTAATAAATTACTTGAGTTATGTTTACAAGGAAATTCATCCTGCTTATTTCCAATATGAGAAGTGATGCTATTTAAAAGTATTTGGTAATTGTTGCTTAATAATGGGGATAAGTTGGTGGTTTTCTGGTACATTTTCTCTATCAGACTAAATAAACTGAGGGTGTTTTTTTCCAGTCCACCCACAAGACTGGCCATTCATAAAAAAATTCATGAATGATGAAAATAACATATGTGTTAACGATGAAAATAACAGAGTTTCAGGAAGCTAACACTAGTGGAAATGCTTTTGTTACAACTATGCTGCCTAAAGCCAGCATTTGTTAGGCTAGCTTAGAATTCTAAGGAGAAAAGCAGCTGAGCTTTTTGTGACCATTTAGCATAAATGACAGCTGGGTCCCTTCACACTATCAACTATGAACTGGTAATTTACCGAGCAAAATGTTGTGATGTGGAAAGAAGGGAAAGCATTAGAAGGTTTTGCAGAGAGAGGACAAAAAAGCCATGTATTTCATAGTTGCTTATGGGCAACACTTGGGTCTAGGACTTGTGTAAATTTTGTATGACTGGAAAGTTTTGTGTTTGTTTGGACAAAGAGTTCCTGGAATGTCCCTGCAATCTCAGCAATAACACAGATATGTGATTTGAACGGCTGAAAAAAGTCACACTGGAGATAACAAATGCAGATTTCTCCCGGGTCATTCTAAGTGATTGCTCTTTATCAAGCTCAAAGCACCAGAAATACCACAAGCAACAGAGACAGTTAATCCTTTGGACTTTGCAACCCCCCACATGCTGGTAATGGCCCTGCAACCGATGTCTTTTGCTTAATGTATGTAGGAAGTTTAAAAGTGTGCTCTGCTGGAAAACAGGCCATTGAACATTTTAAGCTAAAGGATGGTGTGTAGGCTGATGGCTGTGCCATGTCCTGAATCTTCAGCAATTTGCTGGGAGAGGCAAAACTGTCTGTGGGCATGATGGCTTTCTATAAATAGCTGTGTTGAGCCTGGTTTTCCTCCTGTGCCCATAGAAGTGGATTTTCACAGATCAGGCAGAGGGACAACCACCATGATGATATAATCTGCCCCTTCTGCTTTCCTTTGGCTTCTTCACATCACTTTGTCAGCCCCGATCTTGTTCTTTTGCTTCTTAGACTCCCTGAAATGATACTTAGTCCAAAATTGTGTGATCCAAATTTGGGAATTATTTTGTTGTTAATCAGTAGCTATAGCTTGGCAGGTGTGATTAAGTAGTTGCATTGTGAAACTCGTGGAAATTTATAGGCTTGGCTAATCCTTTGTTTTAAGGGAAAGGGCATGCTATTCTGAAATGAATAGGCTGTTTGGACAAGAGCCACTAGGAGTGAACAGGACTAAGCAGTAAATGGGAGGAAGAAGAATTAGAATGATAAGCAAGAGATATAGGTAGCAAATAAGGGTTTGAGTAATGAAAAATGAGTGTAATTTGGAACTAATATATGTTGATGGCACTGTTTGTTAGAATGTAGAAATTGTATATATTTACGCAAATTCTGGATTCCCAACACGCTCCCTACTTTGCACAAACTAAAATAAAATATAGAACTACCTCACCTTGGTGTGGGAATTTTCTGTACACACCAGGTAGCAAGCCTGTGTTCAGGATAACAGAAGGACAAGAGTTTCAAAACTTCATCAGATTTTGGAAACCAAAGTATGTATGCAAACAATAACTGGTATCATCTCTGAGGAGAACAGGAAATTAGCCTCTTTTGAAGTAGTCTCAAACAATATTAAAGGCTGTTTGCAACTCACAGAATTTGGAAGCATTTAGTAACTGCTAAATGTCTGTTTGGGGGGGTCTACAGGCACAGAATTTATGTAACAGTGCCCACTACTCTCAAAAGCAGGAGTTTGTCTGCTGCCTTTGTGGTTTGGCACAGCCTTTGTATAACCAGCTGTCTTGAAGGGAGTTTTGATGCACTTTTAAGAAAGGTACTGTTATATATAGAACATATCTAGTCTACATTTCCTCTGCTTCTCACCCCATCCCTTTACAGAGAATGTGAGTTCTCATTTGATCAGGGTCACCTCAGAGACAAAATGTCTTTTGAATCTCAAGATATTCTCCTGGTTCAAAAACTGTAAGTTAAAAAATGTTCTTGAGAGGGCAGATGCAGGACAAGAATTCAGCTGCATATTCAGTATTGCTCTGCTATGCTATCAGTACATTCCTACCCATTGCTGGGTCTCGGGAAACTAAAATGTGCTTTTCTGCTTCAGCATATCTTAATCCAGAGTTAGTTTTTTCATTAAAATCAGGTTGTGGCTGTATAGAAGCTGAACGGAGCCTGGTTTGCAGAGAAAGGTAGTAAACAAGTAAATCTAGGAAGAAGAGAAAATAAGACAGCAGGAATAAGTTCTAAAAAATGCAGAGTCTGTGCTGGGTCTGTTTTCTGGACCATGTCCTGTCTTGCAATGCCTGGTAAATACATGATGCAATGTCAGATGTTGCTCTGTACGTGCAAGCGAGGCCACCCAGAGAGAATTGTTCTGTGATGCTGCATCCTCTCTTCCTGGCATCTGTATTCTCTGAGACCTGTGCAGCAACTCCTGTCTCTGCTGCAAAGCCAGGCTTTGGCAAGTTTGATAAATAAAAATCACTGCACGATTTTTTTGCTTGAGGAGAATATAAACTGTTGTATTGTAGACAAATCACATTCTGTAACTAAATCACGCTGCTTTAAATTCACATGTCTCTTCACCACCTTTTTTTTTCATATGCTGAGCTGCTCTGAAGTGCTGCTTACATGACTGCCCCAAGATCATAAAAGGCTTGGGGCTGGCAGGAACATGTCCCATCCATAGTTTTGAGATCCTCTGGAATGAGGACTGTACAGATCTAATATATTTACTGTGTTTGGTGCCCAGGATCCCATGACCATTTGACTTTGCACTTTCATGCCCTGTTAAGCAGCTACAAGAGCTCCTCAGCTAAAATGATCCCATTCTAATTTTAATTCATGCTAATACTAATATGTAATGTGTCTGGGCAGCTGGCTGTTTAAGGAGCTGCTGTTAAGCTCCAAATATCTTTGCCTAAGGCTCTGGACTGACTTGTCCCAGCAACACAACCATGGAGAGAGCCAGGGTGACTCCAGATTCCCAGTACACTTCTGTCATTACAGCATTCCTTATTCCTTCCTTCCTTTCTTCCTCAGGGTGTCTTTTCTATATCAGGTCAGGAAGATCACTCTCATGGGTTTCTTTTCCCCTGTTTTCCTGGTTGTCTTTTTTCCCCTGTGCCCTTGCAGCTTGCCTGGAAAGCTGTGAACTGCCTGACTTTGGCCAGTGTCTGCATCAGGACTTCAGGCAGTTTTGGTTTTGCAGAAAATCATCTTTTGTATCATGTTTATTGCATCCCGGTTTGGGGAGTGGGGATCAGACTGGTTCTACATGTACTTACCAGCTGATTTCTGTACTTTTTTTTTTTCTTCACTCCTAATTCTCTTTTTTTTTCCTTTCTGTCACTTTGAGCTCTAACAGCTCCCTGGGTTCTCCAGGAGCAGCTGCTACTAAGATGTTTGCGTTCTCCTCTGTAAAACTGGTCTTGTTTTGTGTTGCTAGGCTACTCCCTTCCAGCTGCCACTGAAGAAATGTTCCGTGGTGGGAAACGGTGGGATCCTGAAAAAGAGTGGCTGCGGCAAACAAATAGATCAAGCAGATTTTGTCATGCGGTAAGACAGAAACCTTAATGACACATTGTCCCCCCTTCCACCTGCTAAGCCTCAGACTTTTCAAAGCTGTTCAGTTGGGATTAATCAATGATAATTTGCTTTGTTGCCCTGCCTTTGCAGGATGCTTCACAAAAACAATTTGGGTCAAAGTGTGAGGAGAGGCAAAAAAGGAGTTTTGGTTTGGTTCTGCAAAGGGATCTGGGGTGTGGGGACAATCTGCTGGTGAGTAAAGTTGTGACAGCTTGTGCAGTGTCTCAGGGAGGAACTGAGGAGCTGCTTTTTTCATCATTTATGCAGGGACAGCCAGGGTGCTTGATCCTGCTCTGTGCTCTGTCCTCTGAAACTAAATGTCATGTATGCAACCTATGGAACTCAGGATGAGTAGGGGCTGATTTATGGGGCAAGGCTCGAGTTGGTCAAAACAAAAATATTCCTTGTTTTTATTTCCCTCAAGACTGAGCTGTGACTGACTGTCTGAGGAAAGGCCAAACCTCTTCTCTTGATGTGAGGTTTTTGTGATTTTTCACGTTTCCTTTCCCTTCAGCCTTCCTTAAATTTATAAGAACCTGTCAGGAGGGATGTTGAACCAGCTACTGCTTTTGTGATTAAATTTGGCACTTTCTAGGTCTGTGATCCTTAAGGAAGAAAGACAGAAATTAGTTCCTCCCTGATAAACATGAACAAGAGAAACATTGTCAGGGAGAAACTGGAGTAATGTTCCAAAACAGATGAGAATTGGAGTTTCTTTGGGTTTCTGATGGATACATAATGAGCACCCACTATAACAAGTCTCCTGGTTAGATCCTCATGGCTTATTATAAAACCATACAAATTTGCTCTAAACCATTGCTGTAATTTCTGCTTTGCATCTCAAAGACCGAAAATGCCTTCATTATTAAACGTCTGTTAATGCAAAGAAATAGAACCAATTAAAGGCAAACATATACTTAGAACATTTACAGATGAGAAAATGTAAAGCACAGGGAGAGAGAGTGGCACCCTGATTGCCATTACTGCAAAACTCCATAGGTGTTCCATAGACTAAATACAAGAAACTGCAGCATTTATGCCATGGTTATATTTTCTAGAAAATTAGAATGCTGTAGAAGCAAATATGTTACAAAAACAACAGAAGTTTAAAAAAAAAACCAAAAAACCAAAACCAAACAAAAACAACAAAAAGCCCCCCCAGCAAAACTATTTTAACAGCTATTTTAGCTTGATCATAACAAACCAACCTTTATGTGTACAGAGCTTGTTTTGATTTAGAAATAAGTGATAGGGAAAATCCTGCAAAAATCCAGTTGTTGTCTCCAGGCTCTGTTGTGTTAATGATATGAAATAATTTTAATGGAAAATTTAGCTGATATTTTCTAAATCTCATTTCTTTAATCTGAGATCTGAGAAAGAGCACAATGGTGACTTCCATAACATTTCATTTTTTTGAAAATAAATTTGTGTAATACCTTCGAAGTATTTCTGCAGTGTGAAGTATCCTGCAAGGTTTTGCCCTCGTTTGTTAATTCCCTTCACGTGAGTTTTGATTTTGTTTTTGTATATTTCCATAAGCTTTGTCATGTGAGAGAAGATGGCTGCAGTCATATGTTGTAATTGCTAAGGTTATTTAATGAGTTTAAGCTCATCTGATTGCTGAGCATCTTCTACAAACTCAATTGTTCCAACACAGAGATGAAAAGAGCAGCAGTTTTCAGCCCCTAAGGCATAGCAAGCTGCATATGCAATGAGAAAGGTGCAAATGGTCTACATGTTCAGATATTTTGGCTATTATGGGCTCTTCTTCTGATTTTCAAGTTTGTAATTCTTATTTCTAAAGAAAAAAATTATTTCCCCCCCTCCCTACATGCTAAAGCTTATTTTAAGAGAGAAGTGTTGGGCAGTAGTCCTAAGCCGTGTTTTGACTCTATTTTTCATGTACTTACTGCTCAGTACCAGATATAACAGTAAGAGAATTAAAAATAAAGTTTCTTAGTATGAGTCTTTTGCTTTGGTGTGTTCCTCACCTGCAGAACACTCAGCACTCTGCTGACATATCCAAGAAAATAATTGGGAAGGTCAAGCAACAGATTTCCTGCAGTTTCCTGTGGATAGTCTGGCCATTTCTTAATGTTTCCTGCACAGTAAGGTGGGAATCAGACTTACTAATGAAAGGAATTAGATGTATTTAAATAATGCATCTGTGGCTGGCATATGAAAGAATTGTCACTATTTAGATGCTGAGATGATAGAAACTAGGGTGAGGTCTTAGTCCTTCATAGTACTTTTAAATCAACTTTAACCAAAAATATTTTCTTAAAAGTGTGCCTTATGAGCTTTTGTTTATTCAAAGCAGAGAGCATTAAATTGTCATCTGTCAGAGGTATTTATGCCACCTCTCTACCCTAAGGCAAATCAGCTATGAATCTTTCTTCACAAATATTTGTTTGACTTTTATTTTATTTTACTTTATTTTAAGGAATTCTTTCTTGTTAAGATTTTATCATTTGTTATGTCTGAGAATTAAAATTTCTCTATGCTTCTAGCCTCTCTCCTCTCCTCTCCTCTCCTCTCCTCTCCTCTCCTCTCCTCTCC